ATTAGTTTATCTTTATTTTGAGAAAAATATCACTCCCGGACTAAAGCAACCCTCCTGACTCTTAACCCCCTCAGTAACTGGGACTACCTTGTCACTACTCCATTCTGACCCTCCTCCTCATTTCTGGTGACTGACCCTAGGGGTTCATGCATCTAGGCAAGTGCTCCCCACTGAACTACATACAGTGCAACAGCTTCATTTTTAAAGTTGAGGGACGATGCCTTCTTGGCTGCAAACTTTCTCTACATGAACTCTTCTCTCTGGTAAGGCCACCTCCACCATATACACATTAATACACACAGAGAGAAAGAATCCTAGCAAGTCTCACTACACAAATGTCTCGTGGATTCATCATTTAGGACACAGAACAGCAGAAAATGCCTTCTAGAAGTCTACCAGTCAGGACCCAGTATCCAAGCAAGACAAACAGCATCCTGTTCCTTCAATGTAAAAGTCTAAATTACCAAGGAGCCTAGGTTAAAAGGTCCCTTTGGGTTTTTGAGGCAAGGTTTCATGTATTCCAGGCTGGCCTCAGACTCCCTATCCAGCAGAAGATGACCTTGAACTTCTGATCCTCTTGTCTATACTTCTGGACCACTAGGTTTACCAGGGCCTGGATCTCTCAGCAAAAGGGTTCTTATTTGTTGTGTTCATACTGTTTCCTCATATAGGGCATAGGTTCAATTTCAAACCGAGGGATATAGAAAGGTGCCAGAAAGACCACAGATGAACAAGGTGGAGGACATGGCCTATTTGTCCCCACTCCACCATTTCAAGGTATCTGAAAGCAGAGCCATTTCAGAGAACAGTTTGTTTTCCTATTAAACATGAGGGGGTCTGTTATCAAGCAGAGCGACACCCTGTGGACTAATCAGGTGTCCTTCTGTGATGGATGGTGAGGGTTCTCAACCCTGTCTCTTGTCGGGTGTTATCCAAAAGTCCACTAACATGCCAGCCATGCTGACCAGTCCACAGCCTTTCCCGAGCCCTCCATCTACAGAGTTGTACATCTGGGCTGCTTTCCACACAGTCTGCCACGGAGCCATTTTCCTCTGCACTGCGCACAGCTTCTGCTGCCAGGATGAGTCACCTTGCAACTCATCCCCTCATCCCCTCCACTCTGTATTTAAAAATACTCAGAGGGGCTGGCTGAAAAGAACCCTGCTGTGTGTGAGCGTGTGTGTGTGTGTGTGTGTGTGTGTGTGTGTGTGTGTGTGTGTGAACATAGGCTTGGCGGCTCAGCCTCCCGCAGCCTCTGCAGAGTCTGACTGCATTCTGTTTGGCAGAGGGGTTTAGAGAGCCGACAGAACGGCTGCTCCAGGGAGTTCTGTTTTCAGCTCTGGGTATCTCAAGCAGACTGCCAAAGTTGCGCTCTTTCCTTTGCAGGCACCTCCATTTTAGTCTCTCCGGTTGGGAGCCGAAGAATCTTAGACTTGACACGCTGTCTTGCTGTCTTTTCTCTCAGGCCAGTTTCTGGATGACCATCTTGCTACAGGCAGGGTTCTCTTGTCTGCTTTTACGGGCTGGACCCCGTGTCTGCCCCCTGGTAAATTCTGCATCAATGAGCTGAAATCTGTCATCTTCACTTCAATAACCCTCCCTCAGTTCTCTGCTGTCAATTCTGTTCAGTGCTTCTCCTCTGTCCACCCACACAGACTGTTAACCTTGGGCAGAACCAATCACAGGATGCCAGAACCATCTCTCTTCCCTAGCCAGCACAGGAAGGGGACTGACAGTTGTTCTCCTCTCCCTGAGCCTTTATACCAAGCCGAGTACTTTCTTCCTACAGTGAACTTGTACAGGTACCCAGGGAACATCGTTCTTAGTTCCCGACGGTCCACACCCAGCTGTACACTGCACCTGCTGGAGGCACCCCTCCCTCTGGAGAATCACACACTCTTCGATTTCAACCTGCTGCTAAAGCAGCCTGCACAGAAGGGGCCCTGGAACAAAAGCCCAGCCCAGTACAATCCAAAGGGACATTATGTGCTTGAGTTATTCATTACTTGAGTTAGCCGAGGTCACAGAGCAGGAAGCATGTTGGGAAGCAAGGGAAAAGGTGGCATTGAGGGTGGGGCATTAGTCAGGGTGACCTTCCAGGGCCCAACGGGAACTCAGAGTCCTGGTCCTGGTTAAGTATCAGAGTAAGATGGTCAGTCATAAAGTTGTACTTCAAGGTTAGACAAGGTCACATGGAAGGAATTAGAGTTAAGCTAGCTACTTAATAGCTCTTGCTATGCACCAGGCTGTGTGCTCAACACTTTCCCACATCCTTCTTTTAATCCTGGCTACAATGTATCGGTCTAATTTTACAGCCAAAAGAACAGCCCTGGAGAGAACAAGTGACTTGGCCAAGGTGGAAAAGCTGCTCTATGTGGCAATATGGTGAAATGCATGACACAGCTCCGGATGGTGGGGACTGGCTAGGCAGGTTGAGGTGAGCCCCTGACAGAAATGGTTCCCAACCAAGTGGGCTGAGACCATGTTCTGCTGCAACAACACTGGCTCTGGGTGGGAACAGGAATGCTCCTACCCAGCCTAGGGGAGATGCTGCTGTGGCTCTGCAGGCCTGGCTCTTGCAGAGCTGGGGAACTCACTTGAGAAGGGGAGACATCCACCAGAGGAAGACGGGGTACCCGTGAGAAAGAAAGCGTGTCTATCTCACGAGAAACCAATATAACTGGCATTTGTCACACAAATTGGCAGCTAAGGGAGGACACTTTTCTTTTTAAAGAATAAAGGAAGTTCTGATAAAATAATAAAACCTGCCGCTATGAACTTGTTTGCATATACTTGTGTTAACATGTACTTGCAGGGGAGTGGGGGCTGAGGTGAGGGATGGGTGCCACAACAGCCATTACTTTCTCTTTCCTTTTCTCTCTTTCACCCTCCTCCCACTCTTTGTAGCTCAGGCTGGCCCAGCACTCAGTATACAGCTTATATTAGCCTCATATTTGCAATCCTCCTGCCTCTGCCTCTGTCTCCAGACTGTGGGACTATAGGTTTAAGCCATCGAACTCCTGCCAAGCCTCATCCTTCTTGAAGCTACCTTACCCTCTACCCTCATCTCTGATTTTTTTTTTTTTTTTTTTTTGCGATTCTGCTCACAGTAGTGAGCACTTAAAATATATAAAAATATATATAGCCTTCTCAGTGGTCTGGTCTGCTGGAAACCCCTCCGTGGTGTAAGTAAGCTCTGCTTAGAGACTGAACAGGGCCATTGAATCTACAGGTGCAGCCTCTTCCAATAGCTCACCAACCACCAATTTGGGGCTTTTCCAAAATAAACACTGAAGGGGCAAAGCAGGGGGTGACTTCCTTTCTCATCAAGCTGCTCTCACAGTTGCCCTTGACATAACTGGGTTGCAGCCCCCCGTTGGGCTGGGTGTGATTAGGTTGCTGCTTCTACCCCGAATCTTGGGAAATTGCAGGTTTTCTTCAGTCTTGAGAGTGGGATTAGTGAGAGCAAGCTCATTTTGCATCCCTTCGATCTTGTCCTTGGGCCTGCAAGTTGACCTTGAAAATGGTGGGGTGCCTTGGGAAATCATCTCTGTATTGGGAAGGTCCTTGATAAGTAGCTAGCTCTCTCCACAACCAGCCAGGTCGCGGCGGGGATAGGCTTTTCTGCAGCGACTGCAGAAGCAGCACCATGTTTTCTGCTGTGTCATCACCCCAAGAGCTGTGTGAGATGCCGCTTAGGGGCTCAGTGGATGAAAATAAGAACGGTTGGTTTTCCAGCCGCCAAGGATGGAAAGGATGAAAAGCAGGTCATGTCCAACCCTAAGCTCTGCGACGTACTGACACATGAGCTGGGTCTTCCCAAGGGTTCTGTCATTCCAAGAATTCTACAGTAGAGGGTAAGGGAGATAGAACAGTAAGCCCAGGAGAATACCAGCCACCGACCCGGGCCAGGAGAGTTTTAGGTGGCTAGGTCACGTGCAGAAATTGTTCCCCGGGGTCTAGAATGGCAGGAGCCACAACCGGTTCCCAGCTACAGGCCAGGGTGGGTTTGGCAACTGTCCGGCTTGAGGTGGTTCAGGCCGCCCACAAGGAGCACAGCCCAGGAGTCAAGAGCCCAGGCTGCCCGCTGGGCTGGCCTGTTAGGAGAGGGACGGCCGGAACTACAACCGCAGTGGCAGTGATTGCAAGGGGGCGGCAGGTGCAGGAGCCGAGAGGCGGAGCAGAGCTGAGCAGAGTCACTAGCGTCCTGGAGTGACCTTACCCCACCCAGCCAGGGCCTAGGGGAGGTGGACCTCCAGCAAACGCAGGCCAGGAGGTGCTGGTGGTGGCGGGGCGGGTGGGATACCAGACACGAGGAAGAGACCGGGGTCTCCGGGGCTCCCAGAGATTGACGCAGGTGCAGACCATCGCACCAGCGCAGGAGGGTGTTCGGGCACAGCCCGGGGCGGGGAGGGGGCGCGCAGAGCA